TTTTTAACTTTGTATATGTAATGTCATTTCTTGGTGCTCTGATTTACGCTCCATCCACCCTGTTTTGGTGATTGGTGATTTCTTCGTTCTGTGATTTTTTCGTTCGGTGATCTATCTCGGTGTCCGCGTCAATGGTCAATATTCTTCAATATTCAATATTCAATGTGATACGTCAATGCAGTACATCAAGGTATACGGTATACGGTATACTAGTGCCAATGAGGTGCTCTACCGCTTCGCTAACGAGGGTGTTACTTCACGATACGATGATGTTACGCGATGTGCTTGCTTCTGAATCTGGGTTTGGATGACGCGCGCTAGGGCCAGGGAGGAGATATATGAGCAGGGGAGTATATTAGATTGTGTTAGATTGGAAGGATTGGGGGGATTGAAGGAGATTAGATTGCTCCAATCATGTCACACTTGCAACGGATATAAATACGACTATTACATAACTACTTACGCGAACAGATTTCATCCGAGTTCAAGTTGGAAGTAGATCAATGATCTGGTTTCTGAGGCATTGATCCCGAGATCGGGGAGATCGATCCATCTAGGGACGACAGGCACCCTTCTTTACGGGTCACCGCTCCGGTCACTCCTGTCGTGGAGAGGGGTGGAGAGGGGGGTGGCGAGGGGGTGGAGAGGGGGTGAAGGGAGTAAAGAGGGGTGGAGAGGGGTAAAGAGGGGTGACAGGGATGATCGGATGTGGAAGGTCGTACCCACGGTTCGCCTTCACGACGCGCGTAACGTGTTCGTTCCGCTTCGTCCTCTGTCCAACCCTCGACATACCCAATTAATCACTAATCACTAATCAAAATCACTAATCACTAATCATTAATCAGCGGTTGAACGGATGGCCTAATTTTGCGCGACTTGAGGCGATTGCTCTCCATTAATCCTCCCCTCCTCCCCTCCTCCCCTCCTCCCCTCCCCACCGCCAAAGCACAGCACAGAGAAATGACGTCGGGGACTGCTAGATGGAGTCTGGACGAGCACGGTCAACGGAGATTCGGAACGACATTGATTTCGGCGGGGCTGGGCCACTGGTTGTTCGTCACGGTAGCCGACTTTCGAATTAAAAGATTCAGAGGGGACACGAACACGGACTGGAGGCAGTAGAGGAGCGTATGATGGACGGCAGGAGGTAGACGAGCGTCATACCAATGCCGAGATCAGCAAGGTGATGCGATTGGGATATGGCGCGGATGTTAAATGTTACTGATGGTGTTGGGTATGGGTGTTGGGTTATATAGTGAGTGACAGCTCTGATCGTCCTCCAGAGCTCCAATGTCAACGTTAACGCTAGCATCAATAACCACTCCCCCATCTCTTTCCCATCTACTCAGCCATGCCTAGCGATACCTAGCGCCCATTCTATGCCCGGTCGACGCCCTCCACGCCCTCCACGCCCCCAGAGCCCCAGACCCCCATGCGCCCCCAACCTCAGTGACACCATCAACGACAACGTCACCGTCAACGTCTTCGTCGACCTCGATCACTCAATCACGTCGACGCAGACCTCGACTTCATTCAGACTGGCATGGGCACGGACACCCCGCAGAGTATGGTGATAGTCGCGTAGACGCGTAGATGGCTAGCGCGTCTAGCCCACGACGTTAGCTCCCTCCATCCGATGTATCTCCAGACCTGCATCTACCTCCCGGCGCTGCTTCATGCTAAGCTTCCCTATCCCCTCCCCTCCCTCTTCCTCTACCGCTTTACTTCTATCGAGAGAATCGGGCGTTTAGAGCAGCATCGACCTATGCTATCAACAAGTCTTCGAACGCTCTGGAACGCGGCATCCTCTTCAGCTCCATCCCCTTACGGATCTGGTTTTTAATGTATCCCCTCCACGCTAGAGCCCGTCAAACTTCAAAACTACTCCTCTACGGCACCCAACGCGGCACCCAACGCGCTCTCCTCTTCAACTGTTCAAATGTTCGAACTTCCACCGTAGCGCTTCTACCATAGCGTAACTCTCCCTCCACATCTTGCGCCATTATCAACACAATTCTCCGTGCTACCCCGCGCTACCCCTCCCACCGCCTGTGACGTATCCTCCCCGTCCCCGTCGTCCCCGTCCTCGTGTCGGGGTGCCCATTATACACGCTGCATGTCGTTTCGCAGAAGATGGTCCGCAGCCCGCCGTTGCACACACGCATATAGATATCCCCAGGCGCCTCCTCTCGCCCGCTCACGTACTCAAGTACTCAAGTACTCAAACTGAAGGTTAAACGTTAAACGTTAAACCGTTAAAAGCTCGAACTCGAGTGCTCGCCCTTTCCCTCGCACCACCCCACCCCATTGAGCGGGTATTCGAGGGCACGGCGCGACCGGGGGTCCTGGCGGCGGTGGGAGCGGCTGCTCGACGACGTGTCGTGAAGTCGTGAAGTCGTGAATCGGAATGGATGGATAGATGAAAGAGTATGGATGGATGGATGGATGAAAGGGTGTGTCGTAAGTGACGGTTCGATGTGGTTATCGCGCCTGCCTGATGTATTTTTCAGCGTTACTACCAACTACCAACTACCAATCGCCAACTACCAATCACCGACTACCGACTACCGACCACCGACTAACATGACCCAATATTCATATCGATCTCACGGGCGATCCGCCTTGCCTCCCATCGTGATCTACGAAATTCATCGAGCCTTCGAGCCTTCGAGGCAACTTCCTCTCCACTCTACACGCATATTACCCGCTCTATACGCACATACGCATATTACGCATATTCCGCATATACATCCACGACGAGAGGTGCACGGTGCCGGTCCTACGTCCTGCGTCCCCAGTCTTGAGTACTTGAGTCCCCAGTCCCACGTCCCACGCCGCACGTCCTGCTCACCCAGTCTTGAGTCCCCAGTCCCGAGTACCCAGTCCCGAGTCCCCAGTACCGAGTCCCGAGTCCCCAGTCCCGAGTACTGAGTACTGAGTACTGGGTGTCTAGAGGCTAGAGGCTAAGGGAAGGAGGCCCACGATTTTTCGTCCTCCGTCCTCCGTTCTCCGTTCTCCGTGCTTCATCAGCTCCATCAACTCCGAAGCTCCCGACTCCAAAGCTCCAGAGGCTCCCGAGATTGAGTGCAGCCGGCGGCTCAACTGAACTGCGAGGCGCAAATGTTCAAATGATCAACCGTTCACCGTTCAACCGTTCAACTCTCAAACCCCCAAATGCTAGGCGTAACGTTAAACGCAAGATGTAAGACGCAAGACGTAACACGTTCACGCGCTCAAGACCTCGAGAGTTCGAGAGCCCGAGTATTGAGTACTAAGTATCGGGGTGGGTGTCGGGTTTCGGGTGTCGGGTGGGTGTCGGGTGTCGGATGGTGGGTGATGGCTGATGGCTGAGATCCATACCCTCTCTCGTCGCCTCATATCGCCATTTCAGTGGAGGGCAGCGCGCCAGACACCGAGCACCGAGCGCTGGCCCTGGGCATGAAAGACAGAGCATGGAGCACTGGGCACGGAAGATAGAGCGACAGCGCGCCATCCTACGGAATAGGTAGGACAGAGGACGGCGCGCAGAGCACTGAGGATAAACGAAGGGCGGAGGATAGAGGAAGGTCACGCACCACTCGGCACTCGGCACTAGGCACATCTCGCTGCTTCCCTAAGTTCTCGGACAGCGCGAGGCGATATCAATATCGCATACCTACGCTCGCCGACGACGACGCCGACACCAACAAATGCTCTCGATCACGTCGACGCATGGTACTTCCGCCTGCCAAACACTCGAGACGTGGAGACGTGGAGACGTGGAGCACAACCTTCAAGGTGCCGGCATCGCAGACTCCCAGACATCCTACCCCATTTCGCAACGCGCCGCCCACACGCCCGCCTCCCAGACTCCCCTACATGGAGGTACGCGGGAATGCTCACCGACCTCTCTCCCTTTTGCTCTCGCGCTCTCTCCCTCCTGCAGCTGCTCTCTCGCAACCGCTAATAACTATCTTTGAGATGCAAGACATGTATACATATGCATATATAGTAAGGAATGGATAGATATATAAGGAATGTATACATACGTACATATATATATACACGCTGGATACTGATGTTGATGGCGTAGACGGTAGCGGCGTCGCGCCTGCTCATTGTAACTTGTGAGAAATGCAGCATGCATCACGCCGTGCGTGCGTCGTGTGTCGTTCGCCGTCCTTTGTGTGGCGTGTATCGGTTCGATGTTCCAGACATTCCATACTATTCAAAATCCCAATAAACTGAAACAATCCCCACAAAAAACCTAACACCAACAAAACACAAAACACCAATGAAAACTGAGAAATCAAAATCAAAATCCCAATGAAAACAAAAAAACATGGCACTATCAGACTACATCCCCGCAGCCGATTTGAACGGCCAACCTCCTCGCGGTGTACTACACCAACGCCACACACGCGAGGCGCTCTGCCGCTGAGCCAGCGAGGATACGCTAGTATAGGGTTTGGATATGGTTACGGTGGGGATGTGGTTGAGATACGGTAGGAGACGGTTGAGATATGGTTGAGATACGGTTGGGATGCCGTTGTGAAAGTGAAAGAAGAGAGGAAAGAGAAAGGGGATGGGGAGAGGGGATACTGTACTCACAGTTTAATTTACGTATAATTCTATTCTCTCATCGCTGCTTCATCGATCCACGCCTTCACGCCTTCGATATTCGATATTCATCAAGCCTTGCTGCTCCTGCAGCCCCGAATGCTTGCTTCGGCTCGCACTTGCGCTTCGGACGATCGTCGGGCCTTCCATGATGCGTAGTGCGTGTTTTCAATTTTGTGAGGCGCAGCATGCGCTATGCGTTATGCGTTTAATCATGCGGCGGCTGCTGCTGCACGAGTAAATACTAAATACGAGGGCACATAAATTCGGGTATTCTGGTATTTCTACGAGGAAGCGGGGAAACGTACAAGTAGGCGTACAAGTACAAGTAAGCGAAGAGGACAAAGTCGCTGAACGATAAGTAAAAAGCATTCAAATATTCACCTTCCAACATCCCTCAATTCCTCGTAGCCGATTTGAACGACTGACCTCCTCATAAGCAGCCTGGATGCTAGGGTGGGACATACTAGTGAGGCGCTCTACCAACTGAGCCAACGAGGATATTACCTCGCATCCTCGAAAGCACAACAGCATGCTGTCCCCGAACTATTATTCTTGGGGTCTATTCGTATTCTTGCGCCCTGAGATGGAGTGGCGATAATCGATTGCGGAGGTTGAAGAGAGACCCAGGGCCAGGGGAGTGGGGAGCGCTAGTGAGGGGTAGATTTGTGCGCTTTGTCGTTCATGGAAGTAGATGTAAGCTGACGCACTGAGGCGGAAGTAGATCCGTGATCGCAGGACCGGCCAGCGATCGGTCTCCTTCATACACGATAATCAATGATGAGTTCAACCTCTCGGCCTCATAAGAGATGTCCGCCCGCGCATCGCGAAAGGAAATGCCCGAGCTATCCCGATTACCGTCCCCGTTCCGAATTTGCACCTCTATCCTGAATTCCCTACTTGCAGTCCAGTTGGGGGTGTGCGGCAGCCTATGCATGCTGTAGTTTATCTGATGGGGTAGCCGAAAGACACAGGCTTGAAATCGGCTGCGGTCGTGGCCCAACCAGCCGCGGTGGCGTCTTGGAGAAGGTGCATCCATTGGATGCGAGGACGGGGTTCTGGTACCGAGGCCGTGCTGATGATGACACAAACTAAGTCAATCCCAACGAAGCGGATTGATATTCTGGTAGAGCCAACGAAGGGCCGGAGCCAGGAGCGTGGAGTTCCATGAGAGGGTGGCAAAGAATCGCGTTGCGCTGTGGCCGCTCAAAGTAATTGCGAAGGTTGGTCAGCGCCGTCTGAAATCGGCATGGAAGAGCGTTGACTGACTTGGCGGGGGCGGGATGCATGATGCGCTACCCACAGACAGTCGCAATCCATCTGAAGCCCGCCACGCCGCCACGCCACCACCCCTACCGTACCTCCGTCGTCTCTCGCACCCATACACACCGACTCGAAGCCTCGCATGGACGTCGATGGTATTCTGAACCTCTGGACGCGAAAGTGCTCCCGCATCATTTCGGAGGGCGGATGTAGATGCAGATAGATCGATGTGTTGGGAATTAAATATCGAGATGGGGAAGGGCAGACGACGTCGGCGGCACGACGACGGACGCAGGAGTGCGTGATCAGGTGACAGTTTTGGCACCGAGTATCTAGATAGCCATTTTCCAGGAAATCGAGAAACAGCTCAAGCCATGCGTGTGTGTTCTGAATCATTGACGATGGTAAGTATACATATCAGAAGAAAGATGCCAGGTACGTACCTAGTGGTAGGGCAATCACAGCTAACCAGCGTGTAAGGCTCTCGTTCGCTAGCACCCTTGGAAATAAGATAGCAAAGGGAGAGGGTGGATCGGCGCTTTTGTTCCTTGTTTTCGGGATGAGGGAGAGCTCGGAGTGATCAGAGTAAGATTTGACATTCGAGAACAAGAGAGAGAGTGTGTGTGTGTGTGTGAGAGTGTGTGTGTGTGTGTGAAGGCGAGGAGAGCGAGAGAAAGAGAGGACGACGCCGATGCGCGGGGTGCTTTCAAACCGTGGGCGCCTCTTTCGGATTTCCCAATTACAGTTCTAGTCCGGGTCGAACGATACACGAAATTTTGAAATCTTGATGTCATGTTCCTTTCATAATGCATTGATATCCATTCCTCTCATCCCCGTTGCTTCTGTAACAGTATTCGAGCCCAGATGCATACACGACTCAGGGAGGTCGCGTGACGTATGGGTGCGGCGCAATACGATGCGATACAATATAATAGGGCAAGCCGTGTCCTCGAGGGGCGGCTCCGAAACAGGGACGTGCATGTATCACCATCATCGTCACTCAGCATCGTCACTCAGCGGCGATGCTTGCTGTACGGGCATACCCGCCGTTCACAGCAGCGGCGCGATCACAGAGGCCGACGACACCGGGCCCGCGAACACTTGGAGGGCGTGCTTCGACCGCTGCCGCGGAACTCTCTCGGACTCCATCAGACGAGTCGATGTAGAGATTTATGCGGTGCGGTGCAAGGCGAGGAGTGAAGCTTTGAAGCCCCAGGCGCCGCGAAGCGAGGTTCGCGACATACGAAGGGGCGGAGTCGGCATGGATAGCGTTTGCTACCTCCATAACGGGACAGCGTGCTTGCGGAGACATCGGCGCCGCGCCTTCCCGGCCTGTCCTACGACCAGCTACTGTGGCCAGGGCGGCATGCCGCAGCGCAGTCGACGGGGTTACCGTTCGGGATGTCAATCCACGTTGGCGCGGATGCTGAGATTGGAGCGTTCCGCGACGATGTGGGGTCAGGGAGGCAGGAGTGCCCACGAAAGGTGGCAAACATTGCGATATTTAGGTCGAACGAAGGGATATCAATATCCCATATCCACGGAACGTCAGCATCCGCGTCCTCATAAACATGGTGACTTGCACGGTTCCTCGCCTGCCTGCGCTCGCAGGGTGGGCCCGTGCCTTTGCGTCCAAGCCTTTTCTCGTGTTCTGGGGACTGGCGCGGCCACGCGGAGGAGAAGCGCTTGATGTGGTTTTGGCCGCCTGGCATGGACGAGCGCAGGTGCGGGTGATATGCACGAAACCGACGCCTTATATACACATCGTACCCAGGGTCGCTGCGGGGGTCTGTATCCTGCCTTGGACAACTGATCGAAAGATGGGGAGGGGAAGGAGCGACGCATGCTCGCTGTGATCATCGACAAGTAGGTCTCGGGAGAACGCGTTCAGTTTTCAAGTATCCGAGACCATGGTTCCACGGTTGGACAACGGATGTCGGGGATACCAGATACACAACGCGACAAGGTGATGCCACAACGACGAACACTAGGGTAGGGCTCGAGAGAGGCTTAATGAATGCAGAGGCTCACGCGCAGACCGAAGGACATGCTCCCTCTATCACCACTCCTGCACAGCCGTGTCAAAAGCTGGTGGGAGGGTTTTGGTTAGGGAGTCCAGCGAGGAGCGAGGCATTGGATACACACGATTTTAGCGTCCAGAGCGTATACGATCAGAGATACAGCGCTCAGCGTCAGCCCAACTCAACCTTCGCCTGCCTGATACATGGGCATTACGTTCTGACACTGTCGAAGGAACTCACGTACCGGCAATCCTGAACCCATGCCACGCTCCCAAGAGTTCCATTCCCAGCTCTCGCTAACTTGGGATCGGGGTACCAGACTTCTCGTGTCGGGTTTCCTTGGTATTGGTGCCAGCTGGCTTGCTGCAGACCCGTTGAATGTGTAAATATCGCAAGGCCGATTCAGACGTTCCGAGTCGGCGCGTCGTTGAAAAACGGATCGCAGTAGATCAATGTCGCAGACGCGAGAATTGTGACTCTTCATTGTTGCTAGTGCACAGCGAGTCGCTGTTATGACACGATAGGTGCGTAGTGCGTTGGAGATGGAAGCAAACAGTCTCGAATCCAACCGTGGGTACCATTTTCCACATTCGTCGCAACCCCTCTCCACCCCTGTCGTTCGACAGTTATCTGGAGAGTCGCGACAATGATGACCTATAATTATGAAAGGCGACAGAATGGGCCGAAATTACCCCTCCTGCAGCTCTGCACAGTCTGGATGGGCAACAACCATTACACGTGGCCGCTCAGAGACAGCCCGGCTGATACGCCGTTGCAACATTCGATTCTTTTCGTTCGTAAAAAGACCGTAATCCGACGAGGGGGAAGAGACTCCATCACCTCGTGGTGGTCGAGGGCGTGTATATTGACCGGTGGTGTAAATGCCGCTGAGATTGCAGTTACCGCGCAAAATGGTTGGCGGTCAGGCACGAAGACATGACGCGAGACAACGTCGCGGACTGCGAAAAGGGAACCAGGGAGGAGGCAGGGTCCCATTCATGAACCTGCGAGCTTGGCCACCAAGCTCACACGTTACGCGTGGCTCAGCGACCAAGCTGATCGCCTCGACCCCTGATCGAACAAGGGATCTTCGTATCGCACAGGACGCTACTGTTCGGCCAACCTTTCCCACCAACACCCCGTGCGAGTGCGACGCCATACCAATGAGCCACCGAGGCGACAGTGTGCGTGGGGCGAGTGGGGAATGCAGATACCTGCTGTCGGTTTTGGCGCTGAGGCGTCAGCAAGAAACGAACGCGGAGGTAGAGCGGGCTAGGGATGTGGTGAAGTCGAAAGGACGCGGGAGTGAGATAAAATTCACTGGAAAGGCCAGAACGCGCACCGGATTGGCCGTCCTATGCTACTGAGGTGCGGAGTCGCCATCAATATCGTTTAATAGATCTCAAATCGGACGTCGATTGGGCCGCAGGTGCTTTCGTAGACACCGACGTCACGCCTTTCCCACCATGCCGCAGCGCAGTCGACGTCGTCGCCGTCCCAGATGGCAGGGCGGCAGGGGCGACATCGGGGACAGCGAGTATCCGAATACTCAAGACGCCAGCAGAGACATCCCGTATCCCGGAACGCGAGGAAAGGGAGGGACGGAAAGGGAAGGGCCCACTCTGCCCACGCAGGCAGGCGAGGAGTGGTGGTATGCATGAAATCGACGCCAGCACTGTCTGGGACGGCAGCTGTGTCCGTGCGATGGATGTCCTCGCATAAGTCGCAGACGCTGTGGTGAACGCCCTGGAGCCATCACATATATAGTCGACGGTTGCTACGTCGAGCTTGTATCCTGCCGTAGAAGACTGATTGAAAGATGAAGGGGAGCGACACCTGTGCGCCATGGACGCCGACGACAAGGTCGCCGGAGAACGACTTCAGGCTCAAGTACCGAGTGTCTGCGAAAGGGCTTGAACAATGGACAGTGGGGATTCTAAACACCCGACGCAACGCTGCGAAGACGAACACCGGGCTCGAGAGAGGCTTAGCAAAGGCAGCAGCTCACGCAGACGAGCAGAACGTACGACATACTCCATCTATTGCTACTCCATCGTCAATATGGCCCCAAGCCGAGATGCGTATCTTGATTAGGGAGTCCAGCGAGGAGCGAGCCCCCGGATACGCACGATTCCAGTATTCAATATTCAGCGCTTACACGTTGAGAAGGTGACCTGTCCTTGTACAAGGAGATAGACATGAGCATATCCCGGGGAG